GTCCTCCCCGTGGCTGTCCTCCCCAGGGGCCTCCTCCGGCCGTGCAATTCCCAAAGACTTTCTTTTCTCGCCCCCGCCCCGCCCCGCCCCGCCCCGCAGCCTTGCCCCGCCCGACACCCCGTGCGCTGGCCCCCCAGCCGGACTCCCCCCAGACCCTCTCCTCCCCGACAGGAGCGAAAGCCCGGCCGCACCTCGGCCTCCCTCCCAGGCCCCACACCCCGGGTCTGCGACACGGCAGACAATTAGAAGCTGGATGAAGGACACCAAACGTGTGTTTTCAGACGGGACCGCGGGTATGCGGGGCTGACCCCCGGGAGAAGGGAAGGGACGGGGTGAGCCCGGCAGCGCCCCAGCTTCCTGCCTGGCGGGACGTCCCCGAGGCCGCCAAGTGATGGCAGCACTGGGAAAGCTCGGGCGGCCCGAGGCTGGGAAGGACGTGTCCCTGTGTCCACCGGCTCCCAGGGCGGGACCCGGGGGCCGGCGGCTGACCCAGTCCCAGAGCTCCCACGGGCCAGGGCTGGGGGTCTGCAGGTCCCACGGAGGGCTCAGGGGAGGCCCCGGAAGCGCCACACGGCGGTCAAGGGATGGCCGGTCCCTGCCGTGCAGGCCGCCCAGAACCACTAAAGACAAACAGGCTTCAAGACGAAAGCCGCACGCGAGCGAGTTAACTTCCTGCCATAACTCTTGTAACGTCCCACGAAGGAAGATGGGGACCCTCGCGCGGCAGCACAGCTCACCGCGGCTGGCACGGAACAGACCCACGGGGAGCGCGGCCGACAACCACAACACGACGATTCAGTCGAGACGGGTAAGGGGCTAAAGGTAAGAGCTAAAATTGCAACGTTCTTGGAAGAAAGTAAGGGTAAGTTTTAGTGAACTTGGGTTTGGCAGTGGATTTTCTGATATGACGTTAAAATCATAAGCAACAACAACAAAATAGATAAGCTGACTTCATCCAAACAAAAAACTTTGTGGATCAAAGGACCCTATTGACAGAGACAAAGGGAGCTCACAGAATGAGAAAATACACGCCAGTCATGTCAGTAATAAAGTAACATCCAGAACATGTGAAGATTTTGAACTCAATAACCAAACCCCCCGGACAACCCAATTTAAAGATGGGCAAAACGGGGCTACGACAAACTAGGAGTTTCCGCACGGCACGGGAGACCACCAACAAAAGGAAAAGTCAACTTTTATCCGAAAAAGATGAAAACACTACCTCAAAAATATACCTGCGCCACTGTGTTCACCGGAGCATTATTAACGAAGGCCAAGACAGAAAAACAACCCACGTGCCCATCCGCAAACGAAAAACAAAACGTGGTCCATCCACACGGGGGAGGGGAAGCAGCGAAAGGAAGGGGACTGACCTGCCGCAGCAGGGATGGACCTCGAGGACGTCGTGCTCAGTGAAAGAAGCCAGACGCGAGGACAAACGCTGAATGATTCTTCTTATATGAGGTCCCTACGGTCACCAAATTCATAGAGACAGAGCGCAGGGTGCTGGGGGCAGGGACGAGAGGGGAAGGGACTTCGTGCCTCACGGGGACAGATGCGAAAGTCCTGGACGCGGATGGTGGCGATGGGTGCACGGCACTGTGACTGTGCTTAATGCTACCGAACCGCACACTTTAAAAATGGTTAAAATGATATATTTTATGTTATGTATAGTTTACCATAATTTAAAGAACTCTCCCCAAAAGAAGGCAAAACACGTTTCAGAAAAACTAAAGCAGAGAGAAGTCATTGCCAGCAAGTCTACGCTGTAAGACGTGTTAAAGGACATTCTTCAGATGGAAGGAAATGACGCCAAAACGGAAATCTGGATCTGCATAGGGCAGGCAGAGCACCAGACAGCGGATATGCTCGTAAATACAAAAGAGAGTTTTTCATTTAAGCGTATTTGGACTGTAATGGGCCGTTTAAAGCAAAAATAGTAACAACATGTTGTGAAGTTTATAACAAACTGTAAAAACAAAGCCTATGACAATAAAGGACAGGAGTGAGAACGGGAGCGTGTGTTGAAGGCCCCAAACTCCACGTGCAGTGGTATGACGCCATTCCAAGGCAGACTGTGACACGGTAAAGATGCATGTCGTAGGGGCTCCTGGGGGGCTCAGTCGGTTAAGCGTCCGACTTCGGCTCAGGTCACGATCTCATGGTTCGTGGGTTCGGGCCCCACATCGGGCTCTGTGCTGACAGCTCAGAGCCTGGAGCCTGTTTCGGATTCTGTGTCTCCCTCTCTCTCTGACCTTCCCCTGCTCACACTGCCTCTCTCTCTCAGAAATAAATAAAACATTAAAAAAAATTTTAAAACAAGATGTATGTTGTAAACCCAATAAATATCCACAGAAATTAAAATGAAGAGCTACAGCTTATTAGCCAATAGTTCAACTAAAACGAAAGCCTAAAGATTCATTAATTCAAAAGGAGGAAACGAAAAACAAGATGGGACAGACAGAAAAAACAACGAGACAAAAGACCTAAACCCACCCCCATGGATAATTATCCAATTGGGACCCCAAGGGCAAGACAGAGCCAGTTACACTGGAGAAGCAGCAAGGGCCAGCTCCATGCCGCCTACAAGGCACACGCTCTCAGTGCAACACACGTGGGTTAAAAATACAGGATGGAAAAGGTACCGGTGCAAATAGCCCATCGGAGGGCTGGGGGTGTCTCCTGCCAGACACGGCTGCTCCAGGATGAGGAACGTGACCAAGAGGGACATTTTACACCGGAAAGGGGCCCATTCAAAGTCTTGATCTACAGACACACACACACACACACACACACACACACACACGGTCACAGAGCCGCAGAGGCACAAGGGAAGCTGCAGCTGATGGAATTGTGAAGACAACGAGACACATGCACATTCACGGCCCAGAGCCCCACAGCGCGTCCCACAGCCGTTGCACGGTGCGCAGTGAGGACGCAGACCTGGAGAGCACCACAGCTCACACGACCCACGGACGTGGGCACAGGTCCCTTCCCAGCAGCGCCAGATGCTCGCTCTGTGCAAGTGCACCTACAATACTCACCAGCGTAGACCACACACTAGGTACAAAAGGTCTCAGTATAGTTTGGAATAATGAAGCTTTTTAAGTATATTATGTCACTAAATCAGAATTAAATCAGAAATCAACAACAGAAGCATATCTAGAAAACCTCCCAAGATTTCAACGTTAAACGGGAACACCCCCCAAATCTCCCAGGAGCCAAAGAGGAAATTACCAGGCAGATCAGGGAATACTTTGAACTGAATGAAAGTGAAAGCAGCATAAAAAACCTTGTGGGAGGTGGCTAAAGCCGCCTCCCAGAGGCAAATGAGCAGCTTTATGTGCACAGCTTTCTAGTTTCTAGTAGAAAGTAAGCGAAGGTGGTGTTGATAAATGTCTGTGGAACGCGGGACGTGTAAGGTGGCTGGAGTTACACGGGCCTGTTTTGGGGTTTCCAAACCCACAGGCACCGGTCTTTTACACCGTGAACCCTCCACGCCTCCAAACAAAAGACGGGTGACCCCAGTGGTGTCACTTGGCACCTTTCAGCCTCTGCAAGCTTTCCAAACGTTCTGAAGTGCACGGACATCCATCTTGAAATAGTGAGAGACACCCTAGCAGGAGGCCCTAGTCTCCACTTTGTTGGTGTCACGGTGCATCAGACCCAAGCCAGCACTGAGCGTCCGGGCTCCCTCGGTGCGGTGGGCTCGACCACGTGCCCCCAGGTGCTCACGGACCATTGGGTCCAAGCCTCCCCTTTCTGGTGCCAGGGCGTCTGCTGTAGGCCCCTTCCCTCTGACCACGGCCAAGCTGAGCCTGGGCCACAGGGTGAGGGCACACACAGCCCAGGGCTGTCTCGTCAGCGAGATGTCATTAAATTCGGGAAACGGAGTGGTGAACAGGTCAGCAGCGAGCAACAGCAAACTCGACTCCCCTTTTCCGGACAATTCTAGCTTCCTTGCCACACAAGAGTCCCATCCACACACTCAGGTAGACTTCCCCTCACCCTGTTTCTCACGGACACACCCAGCCAGTCTCTTGGGCAAATCCAGAGGAAGAGACAGGTCTCTAACACCAGACGGCCACTCCGGAGAGCTGGCGGGGCTGACGGTCCCTCCGCAGGCGGCCCCCGCTTCCCCCAGCCCCACGTTCACTCTCCTCCGGCCCCAGCTGCCAGCAACGGCACCCTGAAATCACAAGCAGGTCCGTGGCACACGACGGTCACCCTGCGCTGACCACCCTTCCTGGCCACGCTCCGGGGAAAACATCCTCCCAGCCGCGCCTGCAGACCCTCCCAACCCGCCTCAGGCCTCCTCGCCCCTCGAGGCCACTTTCCACGATGGAGATTCGGTCCCCACTCGGGGCCCAGAATCCTGGGACAAAGCATTCAGACTCCCAGTGTCCGAAATGCAGCGCAAATCCAGGACACGGCGTGCTTACCGGTCCCGGGGACACCCACCTCCCGCTGGCGGCATCCCCGACGTCCGCAGGACAGCCTCCCAGCTGCCCGGAGGCGGTGCTTCTCCCCTGTGCTGGGACGGGGCCCCGGAGCGGGGCAGCCCCTTCCTCCCAGGAAAGGCCTCCTTGGACTGTTCTGGGATAGAACTGGAGATCCTGGGGGCCTCTGTCCACCCGCCCGAGTCCTCCCGCAAGGGCGGGTATGACCCCCTGGTAGACAGACACTGCCTTTCTCAGTTCACAATTTCCCAACTCCACGCACATTGTGCAAACGTGCCTATTTGCTGGTGAAACCAGAATTGTTTCAATTTTTGTTGGTGGAAGTTCCTTTTGCTAAGTTGTGAGTGGACTCATTTCACATATAAACGTAAATAGGATATACGTAAGTAGGCGGCTGAGAGTCAGTCCCCAAAAGAAACGTCACGGTGGCTGTGAAATTTTGGCATCAGTGGGAAGCCCTGGGGATGCCCCGTGCTTGTCTCCGGAAGAAATGCCGGGTTTCCAGAGAAGCTGCCCATGGGGACGGTGAGGCAGCCCGAGCTGTGGGGGAGCTGGCGGGGGGCGGTCGTCCGGAGCCACCAGCACCCAAGCTCTGGCACGCCACCCGGCCCCACACACATTTATGAGTGCGTCTCTGGCACATCGCTCCACTCCACCAAGGCCAAGTCCAGAATCACCTCGACAGGGCGGCCTTGTGATACAGTGGGTCCCTGGCAAGTGTCTGCGTTGTGAGGAGAACGATGTGCCCACAGGGACACAGACGGCCCTTCCAGGCTGGGTCGGGCCACGTGGGGACGAGGGCGAAGGGGCAGGAGCTGTGCCCGAGAGGACCCCGAGAAGAACAGATTCAGGGGGAGCCACGTGCCCGCAGGCGGCGGGGGCCGAGTGGCATGGAGTGCGGGCCCGGGGCAGGGAGGGCACCAGGAGGCCACTGGACGTGGGGACCGAGGGCAGACTCGGCAAGAACTAACGCTTTGTCTGTAACAGGAAAAGAATATCTCGGGACAAGCAACAGCCAGCGTGGGTCAGCAAGGCTGGAGGTCGAGTCCTGCTCAGCACGCAGGGCGGCGGGGGAGCAGACGAAGCAGAGCCCGGCTCACTCTGAGGGTGGCCCGCGCCCACACCCTGCACCCCTGCCCTCCTTGTGCAGCCTCTGGCCAGCCTCCCTCACTCCCACGGTGGCCGGTTCTGCCCTGCACCCCTGCCGAGGACTCACTCCGCAAGAGCGTTGCTGAGCCACCAGAAGTGGGATTCAGAAAGGCGTGTCCACAAGAACCCCCAGGCACGGAACGTGGGCGCAGCACAGGACAAGGGCCCTCACCACACCTTGCAGTGAGCAGGGGCAGGGCGCCCGACCCCCGGGGCTCCCGCGTCCTGCCCTTCCCGAGGCAGTCACGGAAGGACCGTGTCACCGGACCCCCACTTACTCAAAGTACTCAGTGGCGGGCGTGGTCAGGAAGGTGTGGTTGGCGCCCGAGCTGGAGCCGGCGGAGTGCGCATCTGAGCAGTTGGGGGTGTTCCACGTGTTGTTGCAGTGGACCCACGGCAGCTCCGCGGCGAAGGAGGAGAAGAAGTAGTGCAGCGCCCAGGCGATGATGACGTTGTAGAAGAAGCCCACGTACAGGGAGATGAGGATGACCGTGAAGCCCACGCCTAGGGCAGGGGAGCACACAGCGGTCAGCAGAGCGCACGGCCACCTCCCCTCGCCTGGGCCGGCGCCTCGGACCTCGGACGCCGGGCAACGTCTCTAAGCACCAGAGACAACCAGTGAGAGCTCGGATGCCACGCTTCCTGCCACGGCCACAGAGCAGGGGCTGCGCCCAGCCCCCAAAGCAGCCGTGGCCACCCGTGTGCACCTGGAGACAAGCAGGGTTGCCAGGGCCACCCTGGCAGAACCAGTCACCCACAGACAGGTGGCGTGACTGGGACCGTCTATGGCTATCCGCTGCCACCAGCAGTCACTCCACATCAACAAGGTCATACAGGGCCACCAGGCCAGGCAAAGCTATCGGTCACTTAGTGTCACCCATCACTGTGCAGGACCACCTGGGACCCAGGAATACAGAGCACCACCAAGACCCAACAGACATCACCCCAAACCATACAGGGTCCCCCATGAATACCTAGTAGCTCCCAGAGCCATACAGGGTCAACAACGGTCATTAGATAACTAGGGTCTGCCATGGCCACACACAGCTACCAAGAGCTACTCAGAAACATTTATGGGCACCCATAGCTGCTCATACCCCCTCAAGAGCAAGCAGGGCCAGCAGAGTCATCTGGATTTATTCATAGGTACCTAGAGCCACCTGGAGTCACCCAGGGCCATGCATGACCACCCAAGGTCACCCAAGGGCCATGCATGACCATCCAGGGTCACCCAGGGCCATGCATGACCATCCAGGGTCACCCAGGGCCATGCATGACCATCCAGGGCCATGCATGACCACCCAACGTCACCGGGGCCTGAATGACACTCAAGGTCACTGGGGCCATGCATGACCGTCCAGAGTTTCCTGAAGCCACTGAAGGCCTTTTCAAATGACCTTTCCAGGATCACAAAACCTGGCATTTGGGATCAGTCACGGAGGGGCTCCCGGCCCCTGGTGAACTAGGGCAGAGTGGCTGGCAAGTGGTCTTGGGGGCTGTGCTGTCCTGACTCGTGGCAGATGGGTCTGGCCTCCACGCAAGGGCCAAGATGCCCTTATTCCTTGGTGCCAGGCAAGCAGGCCCTGGTCCTGCCACGGCAGCCCCTGCAGCAGGCCCCGCGCAGGGCTGTTTTCATTCCAACTCTGCTTCTAGGCTTCCCAGACAGGACCCGTCGGGACTCGGGCTCCGGCCTGCTGCGCTAAAGCCGCGTTGGCTGCCACCCCGCGTCCTGCCCGCCTGGGGGTGGAGCATGCCTTCCAGGTGGCGTTTATAGGGAGACGCTTGGGTTGTCCTTTATGAACAGAACCCTGAGGAGAAGTAACTTTCATGCTCAGGGCACCTCATGAAAGCTGCCTTCCGATCCTGAAAGCGGAGAGAGAGGCAGTAAAACTTACTGGTGCGCATACGCTAAACAGATCCAGGATCGGGCGCGCCCTAAAAGTGCAATAGGCCCTGTGTGTGAACCCTCTCGGAGGCCGTGGGTGGAAGCGGCAGTGACCCCAACACAGTTTTCTCTGCAAGGCCCCCAGCATGGACTTGGCCCCCCCTAAACAATGGTGCATTGCAACGCTGCTCCCTGGGTTCCTCAGGAGAGAGGCCGGGCTGTGATTTACAGCGAATCTGCCTAGGCAGCGTGCCGGGGGAAGCCGTGCTCCCCAAAAAAGTGCTGCAGGGAAACGGTGCTCCCCGGAGGATGTGCTGCGGGGAAGCTGTGCTCCCCAGAAAAAGTGCTGCGGGGAAACGGTGCTCCCCGAAGACGTGCTGCCGGGAAGCCGTGCTCCCGGGACGACGTGCTGCAGGGAAGCTATGCTCCCCAGAAGACGTGCTGCGGGGAAGCCGTGCTCCCCGGAAGACGTGCTATGTGTGTAAAAGGCCACGATGTCAGGAAGAGCATCCCAGAAGGTTCTCCCTGGCAAGGGGCTGACTGTGGACGCCTGACTTGAATCATTTTAAGGTTAAAAGGGTGCGAGCCAGAACCTGGGCCTGACGCGAGGCAAGTCAGGGGGCCTCTGAGCCAGCACTGGAGCGGATCCAACCCCCGTCGGGAGGAAGAGCCAACTTGGCCCCTGACCCTTCCTGCGCCCCGTGCTCCGTGCACAGCCCTCTTCTCAGCTAGGTTTCTCAACCTTCCTGCCAGAGTGACAAGGTCACTGTGGGCGTGCCCCGTGGCACCCGGCGCCAGAGGCTCTCCCGCAATCGAGGTCACCTCCCCCGTGCTGCCCTCCAGGTCCTCAGGAAGGTGGCTGTGAAGGTGGGCCGCTTGTGGAGTCGCTCCGAGCTCTGTCCCAGGTGGACACAGCCTCACAGCCTCACAAGCCCACGGCCTGGGCCACCGTCACCAGGTCCCCATTTGCGTCACTTAGGGTCCCCTCCCGGGCGTTGCCTGATGCCCTGGCATCGCCAGAGCCTCTAAATAAAGCTGCACTTGACAGACCTCTTCCTTCCCGGCTGCTGTGGGACAGCGCCCCCCGGCGGGTGGGGTCGCCCTGTCCTGGGTTCCCAGGGGAACTCAGGAACCTGGCTCGCTCCTGCCCCGCCCCTGCCCCCCAACTCCCCTTCCTGCCCCCCCCGCCCCCGCCCCTGCCCCCCCCACCACTGCCCCCCCAACTCCCCTTCCTGCCCCCCCACCCCTGCTCCTGCTCCTGGGAAGCTGGGGGCTAAACGTGGATTTTCCAGCCACTGATCTTAACGTCCGGTTTCTGAAGCTTGTTTTCCTTAGTATTTCTTTATGTTAATTTTATAACCTTTAGCTTTTACAGTAAATTGTACGTATTTTATCTCATATTAAGGTACTTTAAATTCTTTTTAGAAAGAGGCGTTTGATATATCACACCAAAGTATTATTCACTACAAATTATCACAACTGCCTTACACTCCATAAAACGGGGCGGCCGTGTCTTCACACACACGGGAGGCAGGTCTGGGGCTGGCAGGTAACCAGACACGGACACGGGCAGCCGGTGGACCCCACCCCCACCCCCACCCCCACCCCCACCCCCACCCCCACCCCACGCACGCCCACTGCCTCCAGAGCCTGGGGAGCACCGGCCACAGAAATGCTCCTGGAGGAGCAGCCTGGCGGGCCTCACGAGGGTCCCAGCAGGTCACCCTGGGGAGGGGCGGGACAGAGACATAGAGAGATAGGGAGAGACACGGAGACAGGGAGACACAGAGAGACAAAGAGACAGAGAGAGAGAGACAAGGAGACAGAGACAGGGAAACAGAGACACAGGGCGACAGAGACAGAGAGAGAGGAAGATGGGGATCGAGAGACAGGGACACAGAGGGAAACAGAGAGACAGGGAGAGACAGGAAGAGAGATGGGGAGAGACAAGAGAGACAGAGACAGGGAGAGAGAGTCCACCCACAGGGGCCCTCCGCACGGATGCCCGTCCGGGGCTGGACAGGGGCCTGGGGCTGCGTGGGGCCTGGACGCGGGGCTGTGGGGCACAGTGAGATCTGAAGGGAGCGGGTCTGCCCACAGGTCCTCCTGCCGGAAGGAGGGGAGACGCCCACACCTGGACCCCACTGGTCTCCAAGGGCGCGGGAACTCCTACCTACCGGGTCACGTCTTCCTAATCACCCCTCCGTTAGGATTAAGTCCTCTGAGATCTTTGCAAATCATCTACTGACACTTTATAAACCGCAGCATAAAACCCACACTGGCAGCTTTTCCAGAGAACATTCTTCTCGCGGCAGGACACGCAGACGCGGGGTGGTGGGGGCTCCAGACACAGGCGGATTGCTCGGGGGTCCCCCTGGTGGGACAGGGGGCCAGGCTGGGGCATGAGAGAAACGGACACGGATGTGCTGCAGGCCCGCGGGGCGATGCCCGCAAAGCCGGCAAGCAGAGCCCGCGGTCTGGGGGGCAGCGGGAGGCCCCCGCCGCCCCGCACTCCCCCCCCCCCAATCCAGGTCACCACGGTGCATCCATACGGCACCGACCACAGCACTCGCCGTGGGCTGTGAGTGCGCCTGGGCTCTGGCCGCGTCCACACCCCGCCGGCCCAGAGACGCCAAGCATCTGCTCCTGGTGCCCGGAGTCTGCTGTTCCCCTGCCACGTCCCTCGGTTAGGGCTTCACGGCGGAAGAGGCCAGCGGCCGGCTTCTGTGTGCGACCCTGCAGGGGACACGCCCAGTCCCCTGGCCCCCAAGCCACAGCCTGGGGGTGCAGTGGGGTGGGGGTGGGGGCAGACCTGTCTAGTTCCGTTTGGGGGCCCAGGGATCACGTAGCCCAGGGACAAGCTGCTACCGTCCTGAGGCTCAGCAAGCGGGCCACGAAGAAGGAAGCCCGCACAGCGCCTGGGGGCACACGAGCCGGGCGTCCCCGTGCTGGGAGGGCGACGCCCCCGGAGCCCCCGCTGCTCGGCTGTGAGCAGCTGCCGTCACTGACCGGGACCCACCGCCCGTCCTCGCGCCCTGGAGACCAGAGGGCTTCGGTTCTGCTCTCGGGCAAGCACACCGACTCCTCAAGGACTTCTCTGGAAATCCATGCACCCATCTTTCGGGAACCACTGTCATAATGAAAGCCGGCAGCGCCCCCGTGTCTCCCCCACGAATCCTTCCCGAGCCCCGGGCTCCTGAGGCGGGTGTGGCCTGGAGGCTGCATGGGGCGGCGGGAGGCCTGGGATCAATCCCAGCTGCCCCCTCAAGCCCCGTACCCTTCGGTGCCAGAATCTCCAGAACGGGGCAACGGAGAGAGCCCTTCCCCGGGGTCCTCACGAGGTGGAGGGAGGCGGCCCCGGAAAGCTGGCCACTAGGCACGGCCCTCTGCTCGGCACAAGGTGTGCTTGCCTCGTGGCGCCCTGGCATCCCAGCAGCGCCGGAGGGCTCAGTGCGAAACCAGATCGCTAGATACACGGCAGGTGGCCCGCCAGAGAATAGAGAGTGGGAGCAGATGGAGACGGACAGGGGACGGGGGGGCGGAGGGGATGGGGGGTGGGGGGTGGGGGCGGGGGCGGGGGGACGGGCGGGGTGGTAGGCAGGTGACAGATGGGTGACACGGGAGGGACGACAGGTGGGTGTGCAGACAGACAGTAGACGGCAGGGGGTTGACTGGTAGGTGGATGGACATGGGTGACAGATAACATGAGTTGAATTGCGTCCCCTCCAAATTCACGTGCTGGAAACTGAGCCCCCGGACATCACAGTGTGACCCTATTTGGAGGCAGGCCTTACAGGGCGACTAAGGGGAGCTGAGGCTGAGAGCGTGAGCCCTAGCAGGACCGGCGTCCTTAGAAAACAGGGACATTTCGTTATAGAGCCGCGTGTGGGGGTCTGAGACGGATTCCCGCCCACAGCCTCAGGAGGCATCCGTCTACCGGCGCACCCCGGTTTTGGATTTCTAGCTTCCAGAAGCGTCTACTCATCAGGGCGCCCGGTTTGTGGAGGGGTGCGTGCGGCCGTGGCAAACCCACGCAGAGTTGACAGGCGGGTGGACCATGACGGGCAGAGGACAGACTGACAGACAGACGGGTGCTTTGCCCATCTACCGCGGTAACACTGACGACCTGGCTCAAGGACGGCAGGCGTCGCGGCAGGGCACGCGCTCCCGAACCCTCAGTCGTCTCAGAGCGACAGCAGGGCCAGGGTTAAAATGGCACGTCCAGGGCCACCGACACCCAGCACAGCAGGGCCGGACGCGCGACACGTGGGCTGTGCCGCCCCAGGCGCGGGGGGGCGTCCCGCCATTACCTTTCAGGATGGGGCAGATCTTCCAGACGCCGGCCGCCCCTTCCCTGTTGAACTGCCCCAGGGCCAGCTCCATGTAGAAAAGCGGCATCCCGGCAATGACCATGAAGAGCAAGTAGGGGACCAGGAAGGCGCCTGTGGGACAGGACAGCGCGTCAGCCCGGGGTGGGGGCGTGGGCTGCGGGAGGGCCCGTGAGGTCGCGGGGCCGCAGCCACCCCAGCACCGACCACTAGCAGGCCACGGGCACGACCATGCCCACCCGTCTCCCGTGTGTTTCTCGCTGAAGCTCCCCGCATGGCACCCTCCAAGGGGAAGCCCCGGCCGGGCTGGCTGAGCCCCTCTCTCCATGGCTGCCCCCCACTGTCATCAGCGCCCCGACACGTCCCCGCTGAGACCCCAGCCGTCCCTTGTGCCACATTATGAAACCAACCCAGGAGCAGAGCAGATAAAGCCCCTGCCCACGCAGCAGCTTTGTCCTGGGTCCTGCCCGCCCCTGCCCTGCAGACGCTGGCCTCTCCCCTGCTGGGCGGCAGCTCCTCTGCGAGCTGAGGCCAGCCCAGCCTGCACGGCTGTCGCCCCCCCCAGCTCTCCGTCCTGAGCCTGCGTCACCCAGGGGCTGTGGCGGGCAGGTGCCGGTCGAGGGCCCGGAGTCCCCCCAGGGTGGCGCCTGGCCCTCCCACGGCAGCCCCTCGTCCCAGGCGCAAAACTGGGGGCCCCCCAGTCCTGCTTCACACGAGGGGACTTCGCCGCGCCCTCTTCCTGGGGTGGGGGGGGGGAGGCGGGGAGGCCACGGCTCTGTGTGTGTGCAGCTGGCCGCACGTCCCTGGGCCCCAGTGTTGTCCCTCAGCCCGGGGTGGGGGGGCCCGGGCGGTCCCTCCCCAAAGCCGTCACGTGCGGTAGTGGGTGACCGCGGGGCATGGGCGCCAGGGCTCAGGGGAGCGAGCACTGGCCCAAGTGGCTTCCCCGCTTAGGGTTTTGGGTGACCTGTGCCTTATTGTCGTTTTCTAGCCCAGAGGCAGTTGAGGGTCTAGGGCTGGCTGAGTTCGGGGGCGGGGGGAGGGAGACGGGGTCCCTTCCAGGGCTTTCCCCGCTCCTCCAGATTCCAGGGCCCCCATACACTTTTGTAAATACCGGCTTAAGTCGGCCAAAGATCCCACTCTGCGGACTTTCGAGAATTTTCTCCCCAAAGCGAGAGGCGTCTTTGAGAACAGAAGGCAGAGCCGCGCTGCCTCCGGCCACCAGCCCTGTCCCTGCTCTCCCGGCCTCGGGGCCGCGGGCGGGAAGCGCAGATGCCCGGTGAGCCGGCCCCAGCCGCGGGCTCTGCACCTGCCCCCACCCCCCCCGCGCCCCTCGCAGCCCCCCGCACGGTCGGGAGGCGGGGAGGGCCAGGCTGGGACTCACCGCCGCCGTTTTTGTAGCACAGGTAGGGGAAGCGCCAGACGTTGGCCAGGTCCACGGCGAAGCCGATCACTGACAGGAGGAAGTCGATCTTCTTGCCCCAGGTCTCCCGTTCCTGGGGCCCCGCGGGGGCCTGCGGGGGGCGGACGAGGGCGGAGCTCGCCAACTGCACCCCATTCCGCTCCTTGACCAGGACGAGCTCCACGGCCTTGGGGCCCGCGGCCCTGGGCGCCTTAGCTGGGGCCACGGCGGAGGACATGGGCGCCAGCGGCGCTCGCCGTAGCTCCTGGGCGGCCTGCGGCCTCGGGATTGTGCGCGTCCCGCGCTGGGTCTGCAGCCCGCACAGGAAATAAGCACACACAGGAACGCGGTGACCTAGTGGCCGGGGCTGCGGGTGCCCCGCGGCCAGAGCAGCCACTGCGGCCGAGCAAGCACATGCCAAGCACCTAAGACGCCACAGCCAAGGCTGGGGACGGGAGGAGACGGCGAAGCTCCTGCGGGCTGGGGGTGGGGCAGCCCGTGCAGACCTCAGGGCACACACCTGCCTTGCCCCCCCTTCCCTGGCACCCCTCTCTGTTCCTGTCAAAGTGCATGCTGTGTCATCTCTAATTCTGTTTTTTAAAATGTTTGTTTATTTTTTGAAAGAGAGAGACAGAGCGTGAGCAGGGGAGGGGCAGAGAGAGAGGGAGACAGAATCCGAAGCAGCTCCAGGCTCTGAGCTGTCAGCACAGAGCCTGACGTGGGGCTCGAACCCACAAACCGTGAGATCATGACCTGAGCTTAACCGACTGAGCCACCCAGATGCCCTGTAATTCTGCTCTAATAATAATGTGAAACGTCACCTCTGCCCACATTGCCAGGGAGCCATTTCACAATCTTCACATAGCATTCAAAGTTAAGTCTTTCTAGCAGGGCACATCTAGTCTTTATACACAGCAGTGAAGGTAAAGAGCACGTTTTTATACCCAGAACCACCCATGGTGATTCCATTCCTCACTCGGTGCCCCCAGGATGCCCTCCACCTGTGGCCGGGGACTCGGGCGCCCCGCTGCAGGCGGGCACGCCACAGCACCGTCGGCATTTAGCTGGGGGCAGACTTGATCTTGTAGCCAGTAACCTTCCCCAGGAACCGCTTCCGACACACTCTCCTAAAGCCCCGTGCAGCATAATCGAGGAGAACAGAAGAATCACACAGACCACACAGCAGGTGGCCCCGATGGCTGCCGAGAGTGCCTTCAAATAGGCTTCTGGGTCCATCAGCATCGTTTCCACTGTACATACATGCACGCACGCACATGCCTGCACACACACACACACATGCACAGAGACACACATATACACATGCACACCCACACATCTGCACACTCATACAACTCTCACACAGACACACATGCATGCACACACCTACATGCACATGCACACACGCACACACATACACGCACAACACACGCGCGAGCACACGCATACACACGCGCACATACACATGCACACACGCACACATACACATACACACATGCACACACGTGTGCACGCACACATATACACACGCACGCACACATATGCACATGCACACACATGCACACATGCCCTGGCTGAAGCAGAATAACCGATGTTGGCTCTAATGGGCGTCATTTTCCTCTGCATCCAGATCGGAACACCAACACACGGACGTAAGTTACTTTTCCCACCACCTGCCTGCGGCCCCTTCTCCAGGGACGCACCCAGCCTTCCTGAGATGTGGGAAAACCGGGTCGGATCGGAGGCGCCGAGGACCAGGTGGGGCCGCCTGCAGCGGGGTGCAGCGGGGAGGGCTGTGGGGTGCAGACCGCGAGCCCCGGTGTGGCTGCAGCGATGGCCCTCACAGGAGGAGACCCGACTCCTGAAGCTGCGGCCTCAGGGGCCAGGTTTGGGCCCGGAAAGCAAAACGTGGGCTCTCGGAAATCTCCGGAGAGGCCGCACTGGCTCGCTGGCCCCTGTCCCTCCCTACAGGCAGCGCGGGCACGGAGCCCCGCTCCTCCGCGTCCACACCGCATCCGAGCCACCCGACCATCTCCTGCCGAGACAAAGCGCCGGCCGAGAAAACCGCCCCTATCGGCTCCGGAACCGCTTCGCCCCCGTCTGCCCCACCCTGTTCAGCAGGGAGGACGCGGCGGCCGCAAGGGCCCGCGCGACCCCCGGAACTCCAGGGTCCCCCGGGGCGCGATCCGCCCCGCCCGGCTTCTCGGCCGCCGACGGCCGGAGGTTGCGCACGGCGTTGTCGGGGCGCCCTGCACCCCAGTCCGCGACTTCTGGAGACGCCGCGGTGTGCAGCACGCCGCGGCCCCGACGGTGCCCGCCGCGGCCCCGCGCCGCCGGGCTTGGGCTTCGGGGTCCGCCCCGCGGCGCCGGCTTACCTGCCCGCCCGGCCCCGTCTCCGCGCTGGGGTCCGGCGGGCGCGGCCTCGGGGCTCTTATGCGGTCGCAGGCCCGCCCCGCCCCCCCCGCCGTCGGGGACGCCCGCCCGCCCCGGCTCCGCCCCCGCCCCGCCCCAGGTGGGCGGAGGACCAGCCCCGGGCGCGCCCCCGCCCGGGTCCCCGGACCTGACGGCCCCGCGCGGGCGGAGGCGGAGGCGGAGGCGGAGGCGGAGGTCCGAGGCCCGCAGCCCGTGCAGCTCGCCCTCCGCCCGGGATCCCGCGCCTCCCGGGGACACGTCCGGGTCCCGGGTGTCGCAGGACCGAGACGGCGGCTCCCCGGAGGAACCGGCCTCGCTGTCCCCGCGCACCCGCGTCCGCCCCGGGGGAGCGGCGGGCGGGGAGGGAGCGGGGCGGCGGGCGCGCCGCGCACAGAGCTGGGCGCCCGCCTCCCCCGCCCCGCTGCTGCGCGGACCCCGCTTCGCAGCGGTCCCGCGGCCGGCGCCCCGGGGCGTCTCCAGCCAGGCTCGCGCGGAGCACGACGCGGGCGGCGGCGCGGGACCCCGGGTGCGGGTCCGGCCGGTGCTGTGCCGTCGCGCCCCTGGCCCCGCGGCGGTGACCCCCTGCCCCCGCTCTAGCTGGCGAGCTAGGGACCGGCCCGGGGCTCTACCCCCCACCCCCGGGGCCACGTGCCAGGGCCTTGGGCCCCGCCCGAGGTACCTGGTGGTCGCCCGGGTCCTTCCGTGGCCCCGAGCAGGACGCGCTGTGCCCGCAGCGCGCATCGTACTGGAACCTTAGGGCCCGAACGGCGGACAGGAAGCCGGTTTCCCCGGCGGGGCCTGGAAAGCCGTGGCGGTCAGTACCCACTCTGGGACCCAGCGGACTCGGAGTCTTTGCCGACATGCCCCCGGCGAGATTTTACATTTTGCAGGCCACCAACCAAGGCCCGGGACCCCGAGGTGCGCGGAGCGGTGTCAGGGTGAGTGGCCTCCGGGTGACCCAGCCTCTGGGCATTAACCTTCCTCCTGAGTAGCCTTTGATTTTCCCAGTGTGCATTTGCGATGACCGCGTCCACACCAGCCCCAGGCTCTCCGGGTCTGTCTGGGCCGCTGTCCTTGCTCAGCAGCGATCCGTGTGAGGGGACCCGAGTGCCCTCGCCCCTCAGAACCATTCATTCCCACCACCGCGCCGCCGGGAGACCCCCTCACTGCCTTTCACCAGGCCCCCTGCTAACCCAGCTGTGGCCGAGAGGACCCGCGCGGGCCCAGGATCGCTCTTCCAGGCCGAACTAGAACCAGGGGACTCTGCCTCTGTCCCCTCGGCTGCGGTGATGTAAATACCGCAGGACGGAGGCTTATAAACAAAAGAAATGGATTTGTCCCAGCTGCGGAGGCTGTCGATTCAGGGTCAAGGCACTCAGTGGGGGCCTGAGTCCTGATTCTGGTTCAGAGAGGTCTCTCTGCGTCCTCGCCTGGAGGGAGCGCCCCGGGGCTCCACCCTGGTGACCTGACCGCCTCGGGGATCATTGCACGGAGGGGTAGGATTTCAGCTCCTGACTGTGAGGGAGACACGATTCAGCCCCTGGAGCTCGGGGACGTGACAGCGATTCAGAAGATGCTGCCCAGACCACCTCGAAAGTGCGGCGCGGCAACGGCCCGCACCCAAGGGCTGTCGTCCCCGCATAGGCTCAGTAACTCAGGTTTTAGGAAAAAGGAGTAATCCAACGAAAGAGCTTTAATCAGCAAGAACAAGGAAGCGCATGGCCACCAAAGAAAGATTTTCTTTTCAGTAAGGGAACCCAAGATACAAATGATGATTTCAGATATAGATACTAAACCACAGGCACACGGTCCTTTCTCAGTGCTGGAGTCCGGAAGTCTGAGATCAGGGTGCCATTCAGGTCCGTGTCTGGGGAGCCTGCCTGGGCTTGTCCTCACATGGGGGGGAGGGGTGCTGGCGGGGGAGAGAGAAGTGGGGGTGGGGAGATAGAGAAAATGCACTTTCTACTCTCTTCTCTTACGGGCACTAACCCCATCACCGGGCCCCTCCCACGTGAGCTCATCTAAACCCCATCACCTCCCCAAACCCCACCTGGGACCCTTGGGGGTTAAGGCTTCAATTTTGGAGGGACACAAACGGTCTGTGGGTAACAGCTCCAGACTGAGGGGTTTATATTATTTACACTGAGCTGCACCGTCCGAGGATTTCATTTCCTTCATTAGAAATTTTTTGTCCTTTGAGTTAATTATTACCTGTTTTTTCATTAATTTTCCACGTTCCTGTCATTAATTCAATTCCAAACTCTGCAGCAAAAGCATAAATCACCCCAACATCTGTTAAAACATGGGGGGCAGTTGTGATTTAGAGCCTCCTGCCGCTGCCCCAGCGGGACAGCTGGCTCTTCAGTCCTGCGCAGCCACCATCCTGGTACGTGCCACGACCCCGACTCGGAACTCTCGGAAACGCCCCCCTTCACTGCACCCCGGTTTCCGGGGCCCCATGCGTGCTGCTTTCTATTTTATCGGCTTGGCCTCACCACCACCTGCTTCTCAGATCTCTGCGCCACGAAGGAGAATCCAGGAATTCTATGTTGGTGCGTCCGGGTTAGAATTTGCCAGTAGGGGACAGTCACCTTGGATTAGACAGCTGTAAGCAAAGCGGACGCCATTAGGGCCCAGAGGTGTGCGGCCGGGACGCGTTAAGGTCTTAGCAGCCCCCAGACAGCTTTTCAGAACCACCTGCTATACCTGAGGCAGTTGCTCGTGAGGGCTCAGCTCCGCCTTCAGCGCTGATTTCCTAAGTGCAGGAACTCAACTCAAATCCTGGTCTATGCAGCCGTCGATGCTGTGAATGCCCCCCAACCAAACAGTTATTGGGAAAGACCGTGAGGCCAGTTTCCCCTCACACGGCAGGGACAGCAGCACGCCCCCCGTCTTATCTCAGCACTCTATCACCTCCCCCCCCCCCAGCACACTGCCACGTCCAGCCCCCCGCACACAACGTTGGTCCTCCACACCGGGAACAGCGAGCTGGGTCAACCAGCAAGGAATGGAAAGTATCAGGATGCCTTGGGAAGACACATGCTTACTAAGGATTGGGGGGAAATGTAAATATGAATATTCCAAAGCTAGCCATCGGTTTAAATTTCTATGGGTCCACAGGTTTGGGACTGGTCAAGAAACCTAAGTAAAAGAGCTTGTTACATCTGGCAACCATACCCCTAAAGAAGAATCACCACATGTGGTGAATGTCTTGGGTTTTTGGGTTTCTAACTGGGAACGCTTCCATGACCCATTTACTGAGTCTCCCACCGGGAATGTGTTCACTTTTGAGGAGAGCCCCGCGCAGGAAAAGTTCTGTAACGGTGTGATTATTCTCGAACTTGAGCATGCACTGAAATCCCCTAAATAAACTTTATGGTGCATTAAGCACAGATCTCTGGGTCTCACCCCCAGATTTGGATTCAGTAAGTGTGCGGTGGAACCCAAGAACTTTCATTTCCAACAAGCTCCCAGGTGGTGCTGATGCTGTGGGCTCAGGGACCCCCCAGAAATGTGGATCTAGCAGAACCAGTAAGCGTGAAGGCTCTCTGGAAGCCGGGGGCACCGTGTGGAGCCGCCGGCGCCCCTGTAGGTGGCCCGTCGCGCACACACTTCGAAAGCAGCGGACGGGCAGTGTTCCCAGTGGGCAGAGAGCCCAGCGGTGCATCAGGCTGTTACGTAGCCAAGGTGGAGGGATGGCCAGAGAGAGAGGGGCCTCAGTCCACTCACGGGCATTGCCTAATGGTATGGCTGTATTGTGAGAGACTTCAAAGAAGATTAAGAAATTGATGACAAAGTCTTTATTGGCAGACTGCACAATTATGCAGAAAATGTTAAGAAATCCTAAAATCAACTACTAGAGGGGCACCTGGGTGGCTCAGTCAGTTAATCGTCCGACTTCGGCTCAGGTCATGATCTCACGGTTCGTGGGTTCGAGCCTCACGTTGGGCTCTGTGCTGACAGCTCAGAGCTTAGAGCCTGTTTAGGATTCTGGGTCTCCCTCTCTCTCTCTGACCCTCCCCTGCTCACGCTGTCTCTCTCTCTCTGTCTCTCAGAAATAAATAAAACATTTAAAAATTTAAAAAAAAATCAACTACTAGAATTAAGCAAATTTAGGAAGGTCATGGGATGTAACATAAGTCAATTGTATGTCTATATACTAGCAGCAATCAACTGTAAAATCCAATTTAAAATAATTTCACTTGCAATACCACCTAAAACAAATGCTTAGGGCTAAAATATGTGCAGTATCTCACAGGTGTTGAAAAGTAGGACACATTGCTGAGAAACTACAAAGGCTTAAATCAGTGGAGAGGTATACCATGTTCATGGTGGTAGGGCTCACATTAAGATGTTAGTTCTCAAATTAATGTACAGGTTCAACCTGATACTAACCAGAATTTGATCTTGCTTCTTTTGAAGAAATGTACCAATGGATTCTAGAAAATACATGGAAATGTGAATGCAGCCAAAACAGTCTTAAAAAAGAACTAAAACGGGGGACAGAGGAACCATCATTCATAATCCCACCATCCTAACAAACCCGATTTTATTTTTGCTGTCATTATCTTCCCATTTGTGTCCTCTTTTTAAAAACAGCTTTGTTGAGCTATAAATGACAAACAACAAACATATTTCAAGTATACAGTTTAATAAGTTATTTGTGTGGCTGTGGAAACATGAGCACAATCAGGATGATGAATATATTCATCCTTCTCAAACCCCCTTCTCCTTGGTGACCCATCTTTACCCCACCCCATCCCAGGCAACCACTGATGTGGTAGCTATAGATTATTTTCCCTAGAATTTTATATACTTGGAACCATATAATAAGTATTGTTTTTTTTTTTTTAATCTGTTCTCTTCCACGCAGCATATTTGAAATGACTCTATGTCATGGTGTGAATCAGCAGTTAATTCCTTTTCTTGCTGAAATACTACATACTTAGAGCATAGTCCATTTACCCCTCACCTGTTGATGGGCATTAGGATGTTACAAATAAGACTACAGTGCACATTTGTGGACAAGTCCTGTGTGGATACACACTTCCATTTCTCTTGGGCAAGCACTTAGTTGTGGAATGGCTAAGTTGTCTCATAGATGTGTGTCTAACTGGTTTTAAAAACTGCCACCAGATTATTTTGCAAAGTGTTTGTACCATTTTACATTTCCAGGAACCGTATATAAGAGTTTCAGCTAGCCTACACCCTGGCAACACCTAGGATGGCCGGTCTTTTTACTTCATCTGTCCTAACTGGGGCATGGCAGTGTCTCCTGGGTTAGGTCGTCATTTCCCTAGTGACGGGGAACCTCCCTGTGTATGGTGGCCTTCAAGTTCTTGTCCGTGTCTGTTCAAACATTTTGCACGTTGGATTGTTACATTATTCTTGAGTTTTAAGAGTTCTTTACATGCTTCAGCTCGGAATCCTGTATCAGACAGGTACTTTGCAAATCCTTCCCCCCATCTTGGTTTGTCGGTTTTCATTCTCATTATGGAGTTTTCCAAAAAACAAGTCGTTAATTTTGATGAAGCCTAATTTACCATTTTTTCTTTTGTGGATCTTGCTTTTAAGCGCTGTTTTTGAGAAATCTTTACCTAACCCAAGATCACAAAAATTTTCACCAAGTTTTCCTTTAAAATGTTTAAAATTTCAGGTTGTACATTTACGTATATGGCCCATTTTAAATGGACATGGTCTGAGATATGGACAAAATTCATTGTTACAGGTAGACAGGCCATAGTTTCTGCTCCACTTGTGGAAAAGACCTCTTTTCTCCACTGAATCACCCTTGCACCTTTGCTGAAAAATTGGTTGACCCATTTGTGTGGGTTTATTTCTCAGCTGTTTCCTTGATCTATT